TTTACTGGTTTACCCCTGCCGTCTAAAGACAACAGAACACTGATTGATTTCGTGTTGAACACACAGAAATGAGTTTCCCGAAAGAGAAAGAAAAGTTTCCAAAGACAACAGGCAAAAGGCAGTGCGAAGCCTATATACACTGTAAAACCATGTGTTTAACTTCTGAGCACAAATATAAATGCATATCTATCTGTAAGTCTTTATAAACACTTGGACATATTTGTGAATAAACACTGAACACATGTTTATAAATAAACACTTGATTTCAATAAAACACTTGATTTCAATAAAACACCATGTGTTTTTACATAAACATATCAAGATGTTTAATGATACTGTTTGAATAGCTTCTAATTACTTTGTAGTTGTGCTTACAAGTACATCGTGATGTGTTTAGGTTATAAATATTTGTATGTGTTTCAAGCCTGTAACACTTAATAAACGCTTGGACACGTTTCAATGTTCAAGTAAACACTTCCTTGAAATCACCAGAACGTCTTTTTTACTTTCCTCTTTAAAATCCATACAACCAGAATCGGCATATTTAACCATTGGGGTTTTCTTTTTGCACATCAAACAAGCTTATTTTTTTCATACATTTGTTTTTCTTTTTACAATGTCATTGATAGACGTCAACTTGCGCCATATATTATTGATACATTTAATGGAGTGAATACAGATGAGCAAGAAACTGAAAGTTCACCACAGTTAAAAAGAAGAGACTTGTAACAATAAAACACTCTTAAAGAAGATGCCACCAGTAACCGTTTGTGAAAAATGACCTATTCAGAATTATTCGAAACTATGCAAGCTGAGGTGGTCCATTTGAGATGAGGCCATTATATAAAGCTTTGTCATACAATTAATATATTACAAAACTGTACGTTTAGGTCCATGTCAAATGATGCCTGTCGGCAAATAATTTTAACTCAGTGATACAGTTTGACACCGGAAAGTTTAAAGACATGTGCATAAAGACTTTGTGAAATTTTAGCAAAATAGGTAGGAAAAGACAAATACCAATAATAAAAAAGTGCATGTGACTTACTTCATTATCACTTCTAAATCACTCACCAATTTACCTGAGACTTGCCAGAAAGTTCTTCAAAACGATATAGTTATTTTAAAGGGAACATGAAATAAAATCTTGATTGCATTTTTTTTGGCTTAAATCAATAAAGGATGATGTTCTTAACAATATTTTGTGTATGGCGGTGTTTATTTTCTGGGACAAATGGGGGAAAATAATTTGTGAACATGTTTGGTCAAACTACTCCGCCCCACAAAGGGAAGCTTCATTAACCTAAAACTTCGCGAGGGGTATGACGCAAATCAATGCAGAGACTTGCCGCGCTGCGGGGGGGGGGGGGGCCACCGGCATTGCGGCGTGCATCATAATACATTGCGGCACTGAAAGTTTTTCTGGTGTTTCGTTCGGAATCGAGGAGAAATAACACCCGATTTTCGGCCATGCCGACAAGGTGTGTGGCTGCTGGGTGTAGCAAAACTACCAAGGATGGAGTAAGCCTTCATTTGTTTCCAGTAAATCCGAAATATCGGAGCATTTGGAGAGCCAAAGTGAAGGTAAATACCAGAGCAAAGTGGTCCGGGCCCAGTGAGTTCGCGGCCCTCTGCGCTGCACTTTGAGCCGTCTTGCTTTGATGCTGGTCTGTACAGCAACTTGGGCATGCCCCTAAAAAAACATCGAGTCAGTGTCTGAATCATAAGAACTCTGATTCGAATCGGACGAATCTGTACCATTTTCATCGGATTCGCTAAGGAAAGAAGAGGAAGAGTCTTCGGAACTTTCACGGTCATGACGGTCGTCGTTGTTTTCATTCGACAACGGTGGCACCGTGGCACGTCCATGTGTGCATGTACATGTAGACACATTCGTACGTGTGCATAATGCCACGTACGGGTACGCGGCGGCTGCACATACACACAGCACAGTAGCTTCGCTAATCCGTCTCGTACCCAGACGTCATTTACGGGCCCTGGATTTCTCTGCCTTTGTTTACATCATGAACAGCGCCAGTTGCCGCGAAAATCAAACGGGGGGGGGGGGGGCGTTCAATGTTGGACGGCAAATTACCACACTAAACGTACACCAGAACCAGTTCTGCTTTTAATTCACATTTAATACACATAAATAAATGTACATATAAAATAAAATACGTTATGAAAATGTTGGACTGCATGTTTCCTTTAATGTAATACTGTAATTACTTTTTAAGCATATCTTCAAAATGCACCAGCTAGCACTTTTGTCAGCCAATCTTCACCATCCAAGATGTCACACTTAGACCAGAGTGTGGAAAAAGAATGCTTCTCAAGAAAGAATCGCCCAAAGCTAATGATGAAACAACGAACTGGAAAATGTGTTTAAAATCCGGTTCCTGGACAGTATTTTTTGAACGTCCCAGAACCGGCAATGAGGTGGGAATCTGTGACACGTTGTTTGTTTGTACATGTCACGCAGCTATTGTACCGGACTGTATTCGCAAAGTGAGGCGAATAAACATTTTGCGCCATCAATCATTGCAAATATGTTTCGCAAAGTTTTGCTTTTATTTTTGGGACTCGAGTCTTATTAGCCTTTGCTCGAGTCGAGTCGAGTCTTCTGATGAAGGAAACGAGTCGAGTCATTTGCTCGCAGTGACTTGAGTCGAGTCGAGTCATATACCCGTAGATACTCGTGTCGAGTCGAATCACAAAAATTGTGACTCGACTCGGACCCGACACGAATCATTGACTATAGTCATTACAACTCTGATGGATGGAATACGCAGCTTGATTGATATTCTTTCTCTTGTTATCTTATTTGGATTGATTGACATTAACCATTTCTTTGCCTACTCTTGAAGGTTGGAGAGATCATCTTGGGGGATGGTGGTATCTTCTTGGGATCTAAAAAAAAGAGGGGAACAAGAACAGTTAATTGTGGAACCACTGACGAAACATAAGAATGATTAGTCTGCTTTCCCTCAAGGATGACTTGCTGGGTACGGCTTGACAAGAATTAATCCCTGATCCAAGATAACAGGATACCACGGACACCAACATGATGCAGCTTCAGAAGGAGGCGCTCATGGGGAACCAGACCAGTAATATAGGCCCCAAATAGCCTACGCCGGCCGGCCAAATCACTATTTATATCGTATATTGTCATGTTTTTCTCTTAAAAGAGAGTTCTGTGGTCCCTGCACCTGAGGGTTGGTAGAAATGAAAGTCAAATGGCGATTGGTTTTAGGACTGCTTTTTAGGATAACATTTAGAGGAAAACATCACCTAAAAGTCATCGGTTAACTGATCAACTGCGAGGGTTATATTCTGGGTTAAAAAACTTTAATTTGATTTATGTCTTGATCAACAGTGAGTTCTAAGCATATTGCCCGACTTTTTTTAGGTATGGGTATTTATCACGGGTGCCTATGGGTATGTTACTGGTCTCCACCCACAAAACATAAACAACGACCTCGCAGAAAGCACCACTCACTTTGGTCTTCCACCGAGATATTTAAAAACAAAATTAATATGACCTTCCTCAAAATTCCTTATTGAAATATATGTCAATGTTTATACAAAGGGAGCCTCGGTTTCGATACGGTGCGCAGAAAGCCCGATTTGAAATGTGTCTATAGATGCATCCAATATTATCTTAATAAGTAAAATTGTAAAGGTTTGAAAATCTCTGTACACGTAATGAGGACAATCCCGCCCCCAACAGACGAGGACGTCCATGCAACGTACTTTTCAGTTGTTTTGGTGAAATATGCACAACGGACACCTGTCGATAGACAATTGAGTGTGGGATTCTTAATTGAGCAGGTCACCAACTTGGCGTCCCCAACATCAGACAGATTAGGTGTTTTTAAATAATTTCCTTTAAGAACGCCTATCAACATAGGATTAACATTTAAACGAGTGTAAATTCCTAAATAAATAGGGGGAAATCGTTATTTTTGAATTTCTTTTGACTTCCTGGTTGATTGGAAAGAATCAATCACTATATTGCTTATCAATACCTTTTCAGTGTGCATTCCAATTTAAAAAAAAATAAAATAAATATTAAGAGTAATCAGAACAAGAAAAGTGTATCTGTTCAACATGAATCACAAAGGGCAAGACAATCAAATCAAGTTTTTGGTATACACATCTCGAGAATATTATCAACTTTGATGAAAAACTCGCCAAAGTCGGAACAAAAACCTCACGGCCCCCTAAAAAAACGGGGAAAATATTCACACGATGTTCAGCTCGAACCAACATCCCCGGGATTAACAGTCCCATGCTCTAACCTATTGAGCTAATCGTGTTCCGTTATTGAAAAAATAACATTAACGCTTATGTAGATATCTGAATTTGCATGCAACATGCCTGGAAATTTGCTAATAAGGTTGTGCGTAATATGCATGCCTCGAGTCTGACAATATAAACCTATAGCCCGCTTTCATTCTTAATATGTGCAGGAATTAAACAATATGCAGAAAAACCCCAGAAAATACATAATATTTGAAAGCGCTAAAGAAAGTATTCGCGAAAGTACAATATGAACGTGATATGAAGAATTAGTAAGCAGCAAAATCATGATGTTGAAATAGAAGTTTGTTCTCTCTCTCAAATTTTAGATAGAAACTGGAATGAAATCAAAGATAAGATAATTACAAGTAAGCATGATTGTTTTGTGCGGCTGAATATACAATATATATGCGATATATACAATAATCACGAGGAGGCTTCACCTCGCCCGCTTCGTTGGGAGGTAGCTCCTCCGGCTATCTTCCACTTTTCCCGCGACATATACGCCGCCTTTTCAATCCTCAAATTTTGTGATGACACGATGCATCTCGTTAAAACAAAATAAATGTCCAACGTCCTATCTAAATCAATACAAACATGTCCATCGGCTTCATAAATGGAGAAGTAGGCGGGGACCAGAAAGTAAATTCAACATAAAAGAGTCGTCTGGTGCTTTACAGTTATCAGACCAAAGTTGATTATGTCCTGTTTATGTTTACTGCCCTATGCTCCGTTGTTCCACAACACATGTTTCGTTGCAGGAACTTCAGGAACTCAGAGGGTTCTGGGACAGCTGCCAAATTCCGACGCAAGATGCAACCGAATATGGTCTTAAAATCCCGATGCTTGGTTGCATAAATCACGGGGTTGACACAACTGTTGAAAATAAACAACACGAAGAGGTAGGGTCGGGCCGGGCTGTCACCGCACATGACCACGACAGCGTATGGGGTAATGCACAGCATAAAGGCACAGACGACATAGAACATGTTCTTGGTGATGTCGTTCTGCCGGCGTGTCACCTGGGAGTTGATGGCCGGCACAGAGCTCGGGGTGGCCGGGGATTGGATTCGGTCATCGCTGGTCATGTGAGCCGGGGAAATCGTAACAGTGGTGGTGGTTGGGATGCTACTTGGTGTGAGTTGCCTGGCTTCTTGGTGGACCGTGGCCATCCTTCTATAATGACGTTTGAGATGTCTCCAGATGAGTACGTAACAGACGATGATGATGATCAACAGAATGGGGTATATAATGCCTCCTACGATGGTGTTGTAGGTACGTGAGCTGGCTTGAGAAGTGGTTGACCCGCATGTATGGTACTTTTTGTTGTAGGTGAATCCGCTTATATTAATGAAAGATGGTATTAAGGTACTTATGAACAGCGAGACTAACCATACCAAAACCAGCCAAATGACGATCTTCTTGGGTGTGTAAACTTTGTGGTAAGTTGTCGCAGGTCGTGTAATTAGCAGTAGTCGGTTCAGGGCGATGGCGACGAGTGAGAAAATGCTACAGCCGATGGTGGCGTTCTGAACAACTGCAATGATGCTGCAGACCCAAACTCCGACCGGTAGACCCTCCCGACCCAGCAAAGCCACGGCATTCCATGGGATGACCAGGCAGGTCAGAAAGTCCGCCACGCTCAGGTTCACCACGAAGGCGTTGGTTGCCGTGCGGACTTTATTGGACAGAAGCACGGCCAGTATCACAAGCGTGTTACCAAAGATTCCCAGCAAGGCTATGACAAGGATCATAGTGGCTACGATGACCCTCTGGGTGTAGTCACTGAATTCGTATGTTGAACTCTCCGTGGGGTCCAACGTAGCCCCCTCAATAACAACTGTGCTCGTTGTGACATCCATTTGGAAAAGTTGACTTGACTTGTGATGACGGACAATCACTCTGAATGATTAACCTGCTTTGATACCACACCACTTCACTTTGGGAAGTATATACTTTTAATACTGTCCCTTTACTGGTTTACCCCTGCCGTCTAAAGACAACAGAACACTGATTGATTTCGTGTTGAACACACACAAATGAGTTTCCCGAAAGAGAAAGAATAGTTTCCAAAGACAACAGGAAGAAGGCAGTGCGAAGCCTATATACATTATAAAACCATGTGTTTAACTTCTGAGCACAAATATAAATGCATATCTATCTGTAAGTCTTTATAAACACTTATTCACATATTTGTGAATAAACACTGAACACATGTTTATAAATAAACACTTGATTTCAATAAAACACTTGATTTCAATAAAACACCATGTGTTTTTACATAAAAATATCAAGATGTTTAATGATACTGTTTAAATAGCTTCTAATTACTTTGTAGTTGTGCTTACAAGTACAGCGTGATGTGTTTAGGTTATAAATATTTGTATGTGTTTCAAGCCTGTAACACTTAATAAACGCTTGGACACTTTTCAATGTTCAAGTAAACACTTCCTTGAAATCACCAGGACGTCTTTTTAACTTTCCTTTTTAAAATCCTTACAACCAGAATCGGCATATTTAACCATTGGGGTTTTCTTTTTGCACATCAAACAAGCTTATTTTTTTCATACATTTGTTTTTCTTTTTACAATGTCATTGATAGACGTCAACTTGCGCCATATATTATTGATACATTTAATGGAGTGAATACAGATGGACAAGAAACTGAAAGTTCACCACAGTTAAAAAGAAGAGACTTGTAACAATAAAACACTCTTAAAGAAGATGCCACCAGTAACCGTTTGTGAAAAATGACCTATTCAGAATTATTCGAAACTATGCAAGCTGAGGTGGTCCATTTGAGATGAGGCCATTATATAAAGCTTTGTCATACAATTAATATATTACAAATGATGCCTGTCGGCAAATAATTTTAACTCAGTGATACAGTTTGACACCGGAAAGTTTAAAGACATGTGCTTAAAGACTTTGTGAAATTTTAGCGAAATAGGTACGAAAAGAAAAAATACCAATAATAAAAAAGTGCACTTACTTCATTATCACTTCTAAATCACTCACCAATTTACTTGAGACTTGCCAGAAAGTTCACCAAAACAATATAGTTATTTAATTTAATACTTAAAATATTTTTTAAGCATATCTTCAAAATGCACCAGCTAGCACTTTTGTCAGCTAATCTTCACCATTCAAGATGTCACAATTAGACCAGAGTGTGGAAAAAGAATGCTTCCCAAGAAAGAATCGCCCAAAGCTAATGATGAAACAACGAACTGGAAAATGTGTTTAAAATTCGGTTCCTGGACAGTATTTTTTGAACGTCCCAGAACCGGCAAAGATGTGGGAGTCTGTGACAACGTTGTTTGTTTGTACATGACAAGCGGCTAATGTACCGGACTGTATTCGCAAAGTGAGGCGAATAAACATTTTGCGCCGCCAATCATTGCAAATATGTTTTGCAAAGTTTTTTTGCAGAGCTCTGTGGTCCCTGCACAGGAGGGTTGGTAGAAATGAAAGTCAAATGGCGATTGGTTTTAGAACTGCTTTTTAGGATAACATTTAGAGGAAATAAATCACCTAAAAGTCATCAGTTAACTGATCAACTGCGAGGGTTATATTCTGGGTTAAAAAAACTTTTAATTTGATTTATGTCTTGATCAACTGTGAGTTCTAAGCATATTGCCAGACTTTTTTTTAAGTATGGGTATTTATCACGGGTGCCTATGGGGATGTTACTGGTCTCCACCCACAAAACATCAACAACGACCTCGCGGAAAGCACCACTCACTTTGGTATTCCACCGGGATATTGTAAAAACAAAATTAATATGACTTTCCTCATAATTCCTTATTGAAATATGTGTCAATGTTTATACAAAGGGAGCCTCGGTCTCGACGCGGTGCGCAGAACAGCCCGATTTGAAATGTGTCTATAGATGCATCCAATATTATCATAATAAGTGAACTTGTAAAAGTTTGAAATCTCGGTACACGTTATGAGCGCAATCCTCGCCCCCGACAGACTAGGACGTCCATGCAACGTACTTTTCAGTTGGTGAAATATGCACAACGGACACCTGTCGATAGACAATTGAGTGTGGGGTTCTTAATTGAGCAGGTCACCCACTTGGCGTACCCAACATCAGACAGTTCATGTGTTTTTAAATGATTTCCATTTAGAACGCCTATCAACCTATGATTAACATTGAAACGAGAGTGATTTCGTACATAAATCGGGGGAAATCGGCATTTTTGAATTTCTTTTGACTTCCTGACTGATTGGCAATGAGTTAAACACTATATTGCTTATCAATACCTTTTCAGTGTGCATTACAATTTAAAAAAAAATCAAGGAAAATATTGAGAGTAATCAAAATAAGAAAAGTGTATCTTTTCAACATGAAGCTCAAAAGGCATGACAAACAAATCAATTTTTCTGTATACACCTCGAGAATATTATTAACCTTGATGAAAAACTCGCAAAATTCGGAACAAAAACCTCACAAACCCCACGGCCCCCTAAAAAAACGGGGAAAATAATCACACGATGTTGAGCTCGTACCAACATCCCCGGGATAACAGTCCCTTGCTCTAGTCTAACCTATTGAGCTAATCGTGTTCCGTTAATGAAAATATAACATTAACGCTTATATAGTTATTTGAATTTGCATGCAACATGCCTGGAAATTTGCTACTAAGGTTGTGTGTAATATGCATGCCTCGAGTCTGACAATATAAACCTATAGCCCGCATTGATTCTTAATATGCGCAGAAATTAAACAACATGCAGAAAATAAACCAAATGGAGAATACAGAATATTTGAAAGCGCTAAAGAAAGTATTCGCGAAAGGACAATATGAACGTGATATGAAGAATTAGTACGAAGCAAAATCATGATGTTGAAATAGAAGTTTGTTCCCTCTCTCAAATTTTAGATAGAAACTGGAATGAAATCAAAGATAAGATAATTAAAAGTAAGCATTATTGTTTTGTGCGGCTCAATATATAATATATATATGCGATATATGCAATAATCACGAGGAGGCTTCACCTCGCCCGCTTCGTTGGGAGGTAGCTCCTCCGGCTATCGTCTACTTTTCCCGCGACATATACGCCGCCTTTTCAATTCTCAAATATTGTGATGAAACGATGCATCTCGTTAAAAAAATAAGATTCTAGTGTCCTATTAAAATCAGTACAATCATGTCCATCTGCTTCATAAATGGAGTGGTCGGAAACCAGAACGTAAATTCAACATAAAGGAGTCGTCTGTTGCTTTACAGTGATCAAATCAAACTTGATTGTGTCCTGTTTATATTTGCTGTCGTATACTCCGTTGTTTCACAACACGTTTCGTTGCAGGAACTTCAGGAACTCAGAGGGTTCTGGGACAGCTGCCCACTGCCGACGCAAGATGCAACCGAATATGGTCTTAAAATCCCGGTGCTTGGTTGCATAAATCGTGGGGTTGACACAACTGTTAAAAAAGAACAACGCGAAGAGGTAGGGTCGGGCCGGGCTGTCACCGCACATGACCACGACAGCGTATGGGGTAATGCACAGCATGAAGGCACAGACAACATAGAACATGTTCTTTGTGATGTCGTTCTGGCGGGGTGTCACCTGAGAGTTGATGGCCGGCACAGAGCTCGGGGTGGCCGGGGATTGGATTCGGTCATCGCTGGTCATGTGAGCCAGGGGAATCGTAACAGTGGTGGTGGTTGGGATGCTACTTAGCGTGAGTTGCCTGGCTTCTTGGTGGACCGTGGTCATCCTTCTATAATGACGTTTGAGGTGTCTCCAGATGAGTACGTAACAGACAATGATGATGATCAACAGAAAGGGGTGGTCCATTTGAGATGAGGCCATTACATAAAGCTTTGTCATACCATTGATATATTACAAAACTGTGCGTTTAGGTCCATGTCAAATGATGTCTGTCGGCAAATAATTTTAACTCAGTGATACAGTTTGACACCGGAAAGTTTAAAGACATGTGCATAAAGACTTTGTGAAATTTTAGCGAAATACGTACGAAAAGAAAAATACCAATAATAAAAAAGTGCACTTACTTCATTATCACTTCTAAATCACTCACCAATTTACTTGAGACTTGCCAGAAAGTTCACCAAAACAATATAGTTATTTAATTTAATACTTAAAATACTTTTTAAGCATATCTTCAAAATGCACCAGCTAGCACTTTTGTCAGCTAATCTTCACCATTCAAGATGTCACAATTAGACCAGAGTGTGGAAAAAGAATGCTTCCCAAGAAAGAATCGCCCAAAGCTAATGATGAAACAACGAACTGGAAAATGTGTTTAAAATCCGGTTCCTGGACAGTATTTTTTGAACGTCCCAGAACCGGCAAAGATGTGGGAGTCTGTGACAACGTTGTTTGTTTGTACATGACAAGCGGCTAATGTACCGGACTGTATTCGCAAAGTGAGGCGAATAAACATTTTGCGCCGCCAATCATTGCAAATATGTTTTGCAAAGTTTCGTTTTATTTTTGGGACTTAGTCTTATTAGCCTTTGCTCAAGTCGAGTCGAGTCTTCTGATGAAGGAAACATGTCGAGTCGAGTCGTTTGCTCGCAGTGACCTGAGTCGAGTCGAGTCATATACCCGTAGATACTCGAGTCGAGTCGAATCACAAAAATTGTGACTCGACTCGGACTCGACTCGAATCATTGACTATAGTCATTACAACTCTGATGGATGGAATACGCAGCTTAATTGATGTTCTTTCTCTTGTTATCTTATCTGGATTTATTGACATTAACCATTTCTTTTCCCACTCTTGAAGGTTGGAGAGATCATCTTGGAGGATGGTGGCATCTTCTTGGGATCTAATCGACCGGTACTGGAGGCAGTCGTCTGCGAATAGGCGTATGTCTGACGT